TTTCGTCAGTTGCCAAAATAAAACACATCGTAAGATGTCCTTGTTGCTACGGCAAAAAAACGGCTAATGATATGGCTGCTATTTTTTTTTCTTAAAATTGTGTGACTTTCATGAGCAGAAACGTAAGGTACTAGTTGGTTGAGAGAGAAAAAAAAATACTTCAACCAAAGTCCCTTTCTTTTTCATTCTACCAATATTAACTTTGTTCACGATAAAGGTGGCTGAAAGAATGCCCCTCGAATATACTGTAATTACAGAACCTGGAAAAAAAGATTTGCCACATTCGACTTCATTAAAACGTTAACCTGCAAATTGTCAGATCTTTCATTCGCCAAAAGCAGAAAGAAAAGAACTCGGAAACTGTTCATGAACTTCCTAAGTGACATTCGAATTGTGTTTTAATTTTGAATTACGCGGCCTAGGGACAGGATAAAAACTTTTTCTTGTACGTAAGTTTGGAACATAAATTCGAAAAAAATAGCTCCTTCAGAAAATCATAATATCTGTTGATTGTGAATTGTACCTGCCTCAATCTTAAATCGTCATTTATCAAGTCAAGTAGATTATTAAAGATAGTGAAATTCAATACAGATAAATGGGAATGCACAAAGCTCTAATTCTGACAATGACGAACAAAGATCCTTGAAAACTTATTTTCCTCCTAGTAACGATGCTAGTGAACACGGTATTAAAGTATTGGCTTTTGGTCCCATGATATTAGAACCTCTATCAAAACACATAAAACGAGCAGCAAGACTGCTCTTACGGCCATTCTCAGCTGAGTTTAACACTTACCAGCCATGGAATTGAAGATTTTGTTCATCACAATCTTGTTTCTTGGGGCCAGTTTAGCATTTTCTCTGCGAGAGAAGCTGGAAGGTAAACAAGCAGAGTCATGCAATACATTTGGTTTCGTTTTTGGTTTTTGGCTTTTTCTTATTTTTGTATCTTTTGATTTAGAGTTTTCTTATCATTAATATTTGCCATTCTCCGCAGATGCTCCAAATGAATATGAAGGTGAGTTAGAAGCACGTTATATTGTCTTATAATCATCATTATTTCATCACTATTTTTGTCACAAAGTATGTGTGTGTGGCATTAGCTGAACTCTGTCAAAATTGCTGAGCGATAAAACAACACATTTAGTTTGAAAAAATTTGGCCACAAGTGTCACCATTTAGTAGAGAGCTTCCAATTACAAACATGTAAACTATAATCTCACCAAAGATGAGGGATAACCTGAAACCACAGTAAATGGAAAACGTGGAAGGCTGCGAAATTGCATTCGCTTACAGTTTTGACCGGAGAAAGTCAGAGAAAAAGATTTGCAATGAAGCGGCTCGCCTAACTTAAGATCCCACACGACGACATCCCGAATGACAGGAGGTTTCCTAAACTGGAACATTTTTGTTCTAAGTAAATATCCCTAATCAAAAGCTCAAGAAAGATTAATAGAACGGTAATAAGGGGTAGAAAAAGAATCGGTTGTTCATAATCACCCATCCAATACATTTGTAGTGAAGGAGTTCAGCTTACTTCATTTTCTTATTAACCTTGTAGCTCAAGAACTCGAGGAAATGAACAACGACGGACCAGAATATGGTAAGTTATTATCACGAATTTCATTAGTCACAAATTAGAAATAACACCACGAAACCGTTAGCAATACCACACCTTAAAAGCGTTACCAACATTTACCTTACCTTGGGCAATAAGTACATACTCGTAAAGAATTCAAGATGAAAAACAAGACACGAGATCAAAGACACTTTAAATTAAAACTACATTTATGACGAGAAAAAAAATGTGATTCCCACTCTGCTCTTTGAGCGATAGCGACCAAAGTATTAGTAAGCCTGATGATAACAATATAAGACTAACTGTCTTCATTCCTCAACTCAGCTCAGTATGTTTTGAATTTTCTTATCATTCTTTGGGTTGACGTGAGTAGAGTTTCAAATATATTACTCGTAAGGCGCGAGAATGTCAAAGAATTAAATAGAGATAACAGCTTATTTTTTTTGTTATGTTTCTACATCAGATCTGGAAGACCCAACCAAAGGTTAGTACAAAAACTCTAATACATCGAGTATGGAATATTGAGACGTGCGCTTTTCTACTCCTTTCCACATAGTTCCATTGGAGGTAGAAAATGTAAGGTATCAAGTACTCATTTTTGTCGGCATCGTCCTAATCCATTTGCAACACAAGTACTTCTTGCCATTTTCTAACGTAAGCAGGAGCTGGTGTTAGTCATTTGACTAGAACGTAAGTGGCATCAAGTATAGGATACAATACCCAGGCAATATCATGTGATTAGGAGATTTACAGCCGTATCCAGCCCGCCTCCCACCACCTCCCCCTTTTCCCGGTAAATTCCAAGTACACTGCACAAAAGAGTACAAACCATGTTAAACGTCTAAAGATAGGAATCTAATATATAGAGTTAGCCAAGCCTAAAAGCGGAGCTCCTGGGCCGGGTTGTTCAAAGCTGATTAAGATAACCCAGGTTAAGCGAAAACATTGATTTGAATTTTGTAACTTTACAGTGAGGTTTTCTGTATATTGTTTGGCCTTCTGTTATGAGTTTGAATCATCTCAAAATATTTGTATAAAATAACTATTTATACTTCTGTTAACTTTAATCCTGGGTTAGCGTTAACCGGCTTCCGAACAACCCGGCTCCGTTTACAGTAAGTTAACCTGACATGAGCCCGCGATCTAATAAAAAAACCTCAGCACTTGGTCAGCGGTCAATTTTAAAAAACACGTGACCTCGATGAGCTCTAAACTTGAGCCCGCGATATGGTCACGTGATACTGGTCAGCAGATACCTTGTTTTGACAGGTGTCAATCGACCGTAACATAGATGTCCAATATCAAAGGAGGCCATAAATGTTTCTGTCAGCCTTTTAGCTGGAGAATGGCCGCCATGTTGCGCGACTCCGTCGTCGTCGTCGCCGTCGTGCGTACGCGCCCACGAGCAATACCGCTAGCCATGAAAACAATGAGAAAATCCATTCATGGGTTTCCTTCTCTTTCCTAAATGAGTATGGGGCTCCACTTGGCGGCCCTTCGGGCCGCCGGAGCTCCGCTATCAATTGATAATTGATGTTCCTCTTTATTATTTCAGGTCGTTTGCCATTCTGCCCAAAAGGCTATTTCCTAAAGTGCTTTGTAGTCAAATACTGCTATCGTTACTTACGCCTTTGTCGTTGTATTCGATATAAAACGAAATATGGGGACGAGACTGAATTTGACAATCAATCGAATGGGGAAATGCTTGAAAGTCCAGAAGATGAAGCGGAGAACTTTGATGAAACCAGTAAGTCATTTAATTCCTACACATTGTAACAAATGATTTAGGGAGAATGCAACATCATGTATTGCTTTTCGGGTACACTTATTTACATGTCGCTTATAATTGCTACTGCGTATCCTTTCTGCCCAGGGCACGAGATACATGTGGCAACGTCATACGCGCGCACTAAGGAAGAAATATAAGTGTAGGACTTGGCACCGGGTGCGTTAACTTCGCCTTCAATTTACTCTCTTGGTTGCTCTTTCTTTTCGTAGATCAATTCCTTTCCCGATTGTATCCATTTTACCAAAAAAAAAAAAAAGAAAAGAAAAGAAAAAGAAAAAANGTAGATCAATTCCTTTCCCGATTGTATCCATTTTACCAAAAAAAAAAAAAGAAAAGAAAAGAAAAAGAAAAAAAGTGAAAAATATTTCCGTGAGAAGTTACAAATACTTCGCTTTTGCTGCTCTTGTGTGGGCGACATTTTCTAGGCCTATTCTGCAACAAGGAACGACATCAACTTCAACAATTTACTGATTATACTTAACAGTGTTGAATTGAGTACGTTTATCTGATCTAAATTCACTTATTTAATTTTTTAATATGCGATAATTGTAAGCTAACATTGTCTTAAAATAACTAAAACCTCTTTAAAATTCATGCTTTCGTCAGCGCGCCTTATCTCGAAAACGAGCGTTTTGCCAAAAGTTATTTGCTTTACTTCATGATAAGTTTTAAAAGCATTAATCCGTGGGAATCGCAAAAAGCAACAACTAAGAGTAATATTTATTTCTGTTGTCCCTTCAGTTGAGGAACTTGAAGATCCATCAAGGAAAGGTAAGTACACGATAACGAAGAAAATGCATACTTTACTTGCATCCGAATATCATGCTAAATCTAGGTGCGGATTATTGCAAAACTCTCACACCTACTAATATGCTGGGCTCTTTCGTGAATTATTCATATTTCACCTTTTCTGGTTTTGCCTTTTCACTGTGATTACAAAGAGATGTTTCAGTTAGAGAAAAATGCTTTTTCGTAAACCTGCTCCAAGACCTTTTAAGCAAAGAGGAGAAATTCATTTCACTGGGAGTTAAGTACATCCCTTTCCTTTGCCCTCTTCTCCTCTTCCTTTCTCCCTGCTTTTCATTATCTTTTTCATTCACATATTTCTTATTTAACTCAATTTATTCAATTTTCACTGCAGTTATATAACAAAGAAAATCATAAACGATAAAACAAAATAATATTAATATTAATAATAATTGTAATAACCACATTAATAAAAAAATCTTGGTACATAACAAGGCAGTGAGGAAGGCTAGAAGGGAACTGACGAACCATACGTGCTAGTCAATCCATTACGCAAATAAAATATATGAATATATAAAAGCTTAATCATTTAACCAGCAATTCATTAACTATCTGCTAACTACCTAACTAACTAGCTAAATAGCAATCTAGATAAATAACAATCTACCTAACTAACTAGCTAAATAACAGTAGTTAGCTTTTACAAACTAATTATCGTTTTGTCTTTTACAGTTCCCAAACCTAGACCTCACAAATGTTCAAAGAAGTTGATCCGAAAATGCTTCCTAGTTAAATATGGAAAAAGTAAACGAGTTGTTTGTACTTGCGTCCCACCTTGCCCTTATAAGGGATGAGACTGACAACGACAATAACCGACAGTAAGTGAATAACTATAAAAGAGAGTTACAATGCTAAAAATGACAGGAAAAACCTATTGATGTTCTATTGAGAATGTATTTTCAGGAGGTGATCAATTTGTTACTTTTAATTCCATCTTGAATATTTAGGCACTTAGGTACAGTCCAATATAATCGCATTCATTTCTAAATTTCGTTTTCCTGTGCACGTTAGCCCCTACTCAGGCAAAAACAAAAACTGCTTTATCACAGAGCCAAAGAAAAGCAATAGCATTTTAATAGGGAAATAAATTGCAGTTTATAATATTATTATACAAAACAAGAGAAAACAAACAAACAAACAAACAAAACAACAGAGGTACTAACTATGCGCTTTTGATCACCTGGTATGTTAAAAAGCGCACTATAAATCAATAAATTATTATTAATATTATTATTATTATTATTAGCTCACTGCAGTGGCCTAATAAAAGTCAATAATTGGTAAAAGCGGAGGTGACATGCAAGGATTTATTGGTGTTTTAAGTGCAAGGCGATATCTTTGCAAAGCAACCTTTTCCGAGGGTAGACTCTACTTGTACCATATGACGTGATCATGACTTGATAACAAAAAGACAGCAACACGCCTGTATTTCCTAAAGCAGCTAAAACGCGCGAAGGTCAACCCGAAGGATGTGTTACTGTTCTATACAACATGCATCCGTCCTGTCCTAGAGTATGCG